GGGTGTGGCCGCCCCTGCCCTGCCCCGCTGGGCGCCCAGAGGCCTGCGGTGCTGCCTGAGGAGCAGCTACCTCGTCTTTGTCTCCGGATGAGCCGGGTCCCAGCATGGCCACCTGTGAGCACAGCATCTGCCTGGAGCGGCCCGAGCCCCGTGTTCAGAGACGCCCCATTAGAAGGAATATTCCGGGGGCTTCTCGGCCGTCCTGCCTCCGGCCTGCACGGGTGCGAGCTCGCCCTGCCTTCGGGGGGACCCCTTCCCTGCTCGGCCCCAGATGCCGGGCTCGGGACAGTTCTGCATCGAAAGATGGTGAGTGAGGCGGTGGGAGGGAGTGACTCGGGCCAGTGTCCCTGCCGAGTGCACATGTGAAATGGGGAAGTTAAACCCCCGGGTGATCGGGAGGGGCCGATGGGCGAGAGCCGCGGGGCCCCGGGTGACAGTGGAGACTGCGGTCCGATGGGACGGGCAGGGGCCGCACTGTGCGCACAGGAAGCTCCTGGTCGGCATCACCACATCCGCCGCCTCCGCGCTCCCACCCGCTGTTGCTGCAAGTCCCACCCGCCCGCCTGAGTGACCTGGCACCGCGGATTGTGAAATCTCAGCCCCGGGAGCAGCTGGGTGAGCGGGCGGTTCCACGGCCAGATGGCGGCTGGGACGGTCGCCTGGCTCCGCCCCACTGCCTTTGCTGATGTGGGTGCCTTCGCTGTCATGTGTCGGGCTGGGCTGGTGGGAGCGTCCCAGGCTTTTCCGCTCCACACAGACTGACTGTTTTCACCGTTTATTTGTGTGTATTTTCAGGGTTTTGTTCTCTTCTTTTAGTGGTCCCTTCCCTCCACACCCTGCTCCGCTCCCCACGCTGCCGCAGCTCCCAGGCACGTGGCTTCTCTCCTGCCTGTGACTTTGCACTAGCTGTTCCCTCTGCCAGAAACACTCTTCTCTCTTCCCTGCCTGGCTGTGCAGACTTCACCTGCCCACTGTTCAGACTCTGCTGAGGGCTGCCTCCTCCTGCAGGAAGCCTGCCCTCACCTGCTCAGTAACCCATCACACCCCCTCCCAGGTGTGTGTCTATGATGTGTGTGGACCTGGGACTGAGGCTCTGTCTCTGAGCTCCAAACCCAATTCCTGGCACATAGTAGTTGCTCATTAAATGTTAGAAATAATGGATAACCAGTTATTATGGTAGAAACTGCTCAGTGCTTCCTGTGTGCCAGGCCTCGCTGACCACGGTCTCCCTCTCTCCCCAGATGTGAGCCCAGCAGGCCTCTGGCGGACCTACCACTGAAGCAGGTCCCGCACCCCAGGCCCAGCATGCGCCTGTCGGTGCGGAGGGCGCTG